ACGAGGAATTCATATATTAAATTTGAATGAAATCGGATTGAATGATTTGAATGAACGCGTGCACACACAGACCGACAGACCGACAGACCGACAGACCGACAGGTTGCTAAAAATAGTTTACTTACACTTCCCTTCTATGGAGAAAGGCATTCCCACCCAAAACTCGATATGCAAAATTTGTTGCCATCACATAACCTACCTATTGTTTACACAATACGGTCGGTAAAAAAAGGAAATGTATAGCGCGACATATTTTTTGTTTTGATGAAAATGACATTTTCTATCTTTTGTGAAATTTATTATTTTGCTTGGATGTGCGATAAAAACAACAGAGGTTTTCATACAAAAAAGTTTTTTCTCTCTTTCCAATAGTTCCGGAAGCTGGACGAACGTTACAATATTAAAATTAGAAAATACATAGGAACGTACATATGTTTTTATCCTTAGGATTTGAAGATTTTAAGTAATATATGTTGGCTTAAATTTCTTCTTTAATTAACAAAATACAATTTTAATATTTTTTTAAAGATAAACAACTTAAACCTTAAATTTTATTAATTCAGAAAATAAAAAAGAAAATTTTCTGAAAATAAATAAAATTTCAGTAATTAATAAAATTTAAAATTAGACTTGACTAGATCATTTCTTATTAATATTAGACTTGACATTCAGACTTGTTTATTATTATCTATTATCAAGAGAAATTATGTTAGCTACAGCCGTCAATGCGTAAGGAAAATTTAAGAACGACTTACTGGTAAGTGGGACTTTTTTTGTGCAATGCATTGCATTATTTTTGAATAAAAATAATTTTATTTCATATGTCTAGTCTTTTTAGCACTTCCAAAGAAGACATAAAAGACCCGTTTATAAAACTGCTGCAAATTAATTTTTCGAATTTCGTTAACGTACAATAGTAGTGTTGGACTTTTTCTAACGCAGCAAGCATAGTTCAATATTGCAAATACAAAATGGCAGCTGAAATTGATCGTTATCTAAAACCCATTTTTCATATCGTTTTTCTTCTAGACTGTACGTTATAAGTGTTTGAAATTTTAGCACCTTTTACAAATTAGTAAATAAATTATTTTATTAGAAAAAAAAATTTCCGCCTCCACCCCTTCTTAAGTCATCGCCTCTTGAAAGCAGGGAAATTTGAATTTTTGGTAATTATATTTTCGAAACTGTAAGCTTTTCAAAATTTCTACAAATACAGAAAGCTAGCGGTAAATGCCATGCCAAAAATATACTTATTCTTTACAACTCACGTAAATAACCCTTAAATTCGCGCATTATGTTAACCTCTCTTCAAATTTTTTTTTTATTTTAATTCAAAGATTTCGTAAATGGCTCAGTCTAAAAGTATGCAATCTTTGAAAAATATTCTTATGCAAATGAATGTATTGTAGCAGTTAGCTACATAGATGGTTCTTAAAACTAGTATTTTCATTTCTTGAAGGAAAAAGTGGCACATTAAAAACCATTACTTTGACCCAAATATCTTTTTATAAATAGAACTATGCAATGTAAAACTAAACTGTAAGGAGAAACTAGCATTACTAAGCTACAGTCCTTTGGGCACGCTGCAGCAGCACTAAAAAAGTTTGTCGATTTTCTCAATTCACATGTACCAATTTTGTTTATTAGAAAAGAAATTCACTGATAAATGTTGTTTACATCTGAATAAATTAATTTGCAAACGTTATTCCAGTGTAAGTTTGTTTATTTTGAAAATAGTAAAATAAACTTATATAAATTCCTAAACCGTTGTCAAATTTGACAACTAAATGATACTTTCAACTTAGTAAAAATAAAATTTTTTACAAAAAACATAAGCGAAAAAGACAAGAATTTTATAGTTACATATAGGCTAGCTAAAATTTTTTTCTATCTAGCAACGCGTAATTCGCATTTGTATATGTCTGTACATGTATGTTGATCGGAAATCGTATGTACTATACGCGTTAATTTTAAAAAAATCTTGAAATCTTACCTAACTTTATGAATGAATAACACTAGTCATTTTAATTTTGATTTTATTTTTCATTTTAAAATACATATTTGTTATGTATTTGTTATGTATATAAGTTAAAACTGAAAATCGTTGAAGCAAATGCTTTCGCATTTAGTGCAATTAAACATTTGAATGAATAATGCCATTCACTTTTTAATTCCGAGTTTCTGGTACAATAAAATTTTTTAAAAATTTATGGAAATCAAGGACTGGCAGATTATAACCAACAATCATTCATAAGTCAAGGCGTTACACTTTTTTCTGGTTACTTCGGCTAACGTAATTACTATTATGGTGTTGCAGAAAACACAAGACATAATACGAAATACGAGAATGCAGCTAGCATAGAGTCAAAATTTAGAAATTTAATTTACATAAGTAGATATGTATTGAGAATACTTGAGTGAGCGAAATATACACATACATGCATACATACACACATAAATATGTGCAACAGACCTTTGGCAAATAGCTATTTAAGGTCTAAAACAAATTAAAAATACAAACAGTAATGCAAAATATTACAAGACTTAAACATTTTAATATTAACATAAAGGCTTCCAACTTTTAATTTATGTAGATTGAGGACTTTATTTTTATCGAACGCATTTCATTCATTAAGGGAAGTAAAGTAATGTCACCAAATTTGGCTAGTCGAATTTTCGGTGGAAACGTACTTTTACATGGTCGGAAAGTGTGGTTCAAGTTCAACTGAACTGATTTACATGAAGCTTTATATCTAAGTTCACATTGACCTTGACATAGATTCGTCAACTTTTGGGATATGTCAGACCTCGGGAAGTGGATCATTTTACGAACCGATTTTCGTTTTTGATCATTTCTATGAAAATATTCAACAGATTAACTTAAAATACATACATAAGTTTCGTCTAACAGAATGAAAAATAACTTTGGAAGGAATCAGGTGCAGCAATTGAACTTTTATTACTAGTCAAACTTATATTATTTTTGCTTTTATTAATATTAACTTATCTTATATTTTCGACCGTGTCAATTCTGTGACGGCTTTGAAAATTTTTTGACATCCTAAAAAAAATTCAATACAAACATTTCTGTATTGTCATTGTCAACAACCACGATAATGATTGTACTTGATTTGCGTATGCTTATTATAATTTATATGGGTTAAATACAAACTATTTTTAACTTTGTATGACATACATATACAAAATTTGAATACTATACATATAGTTTTTGAAATGTAAGTATAGAGCGTATACGCTTTATAGTTTTTGACACGTAATCAAATTATTTATGAAGTTGTATAGCAGCTACTACAAGAACTTATACAACCAAAACCAAATCTGATTAGAATATTGCTTCCATCAATCTCTACAATTATGGTAATGTACAGTTTCCTAAATGTGACTAAACGTTTTGTATGGCGATTACTCAGCAGCTTGAGTTCGATTGCACTGAATTTAAATAAGATTTTTGTATGTTTTTGTAATTCGTGGAAATTTTGTTCATTCGTACAAGCATTCGAAAAGTTTGCCACATTACATCGGAATGAAGTATTTTTTAGGGCATTAACAACTTTACCGAATTTTATGATACTAACTTAATGAATTATAAAAAAAACAGAATTAATTTAATTTGCTATTGAACATAATGTATAACATATTATAACATATATAGTGTGAATACGGCGTTAAAAACATTTACATATAAACTCTTTATATATGTACATATTTAAATACATATGTGTGTATGTCTTTACATACAGATATGTATACATATGTATATTCAAATTTAAATTTATAAATTTTAACAATTTTCTTTTTTTTTACTTTTCAGATTAAAGATTTAAAAAACATGATGGATTTATAAAAATGTTTTGAAAGTCTAAATCAAATATTTCAAAATCAATTATTGTATAAAACTAAATTTACATAATTTTTTGATAAATTTTCAAATTCATAAATAATAATAATAACTCTTAATTAAAAGTACCTACTCTTAAATAAAATTTAAAATTTAATTGTCATGTTTTAAATGATTTGATTGAAAAAAAAGGAGTTTTATACACTTTACTCGAAATAAAATAAAATAATTGACAGATAATTTAAAACAAAGTAAAAAATGGAATATTCATATGTATTTTGTAAAAAGTTGAAAAAATTTTTATAAATAAAAATAAATAATTAGAAAAATTAAGTTACAGAAATTTTTTTAATTAAAAAAATGTTATACTAAGCTAAAGTTTATATATAAACAAAACATAAAATCAATTTATACCTCATTGTTCTCCAATTTGTAAAAGGTAATATTAAAGATTTTCTGCTTCAACAGCAACACTATCAAGACGCTATTTGAATTGCAGGCACTAGAACAAAAAATGTTGAATATGAGACATGAAAATCGAATTTTAAATACAAATACAAATCGAATTTTAAATGAAATTTCAACATAATCATGTTAATTATAATCAAAAGGTTAAAGGGAAACTAACCAAATTACTTGAATAATATGTATGTACATAAATCGGTTTTCAAACATCGAATATTTGTATATCGAATTTTTTATGTTTTGCTATAGATATTTCTAATTAAATTTTAAATTATATACAATGAATAATAATCAAACACTTTTATTTAATAATACATTTAATGATTTACCGGTGAATAATATGCAAAATAGATTTTTAAATAAAACTACAACATTAAATTTATTTAATAATTCAACATTAATTACAACAATAGCACCAATATATAAATTTACAAAAATTTTTTTACCCAAAAATTCTCAACTAAATAATTCTAATTCAAATATTTTACAAAATAAATTAAATAATAATAATTTTTATAATAATAATGTTAAAAATGATAACAGTAATAATATATTTAATAATGATATTATTTCAACAACTGTAACAACAATAGCATCAACAACTAATTATCAAATATTCAATAATTATAATAACTATAACAATGATGATATTAATGAATATAATCAATATAATCAAAATAATTTAACAAATTTAGAATGTATGGATACGTGGGCTTATAATGCAGCTGCAATAACACTATTTTTTATTGGTTTATTTGGTTTTACATTTAATGCAATAGTTATAGTATTAATGTGTAAAAATGTCAAGCAATGGACTCCAACTAACACCATATTATTAAATTTAGTATGTTCTGATTTTGCTGTATCAATATTTGGTAATCCTTTCACATTAGTTGCAGCATTATCACATAAATGGATATTTGGTAAAACATTATGTATTTTATATGGATTTTTTATGGCACTTTTAGGTAAGTTCGTATTTTTATTATGAAAATAAAACAATTCGATATAATATTTATTTATTTTAATAATTAATTTTGACATTGTTCAAATCAAAAATCAGCACTTAGGTGCTCCATAACTTTATTATATGCTATATCTTTATTATATGCTACGTATATTGAAAAAGTTTTTTTTGCAAATTCATAACTTTTAATTTCACTACTTTAAACATGTTTTTCGTTAAAACGATTTTGTATGTAGCTCAATTTAAGGCAAATTTTTAATCAATTTGAAATGTCAAGTTTTTTTTATTATAGGAGTATGTCAATTATTAAAATTTTTGTGTTAAAACTAAAATTAATAATTTTTTTTCATGAAAAAAAAATATTTTAGTTATTTTGAATATTAATTTTAATATTTTTAATTAACCCGCTAAAACCAGACATTTTTTTTTATCATTTTTACTTCCAATTCACGAAATATATGGCTGCCAAAACCAAATTGCTGTCCTTTTTAGCACTTATCAAAAAAATTTTGAAAAAGCGTTTTACTTTAACTCTGTCCGTCTGTCCGCGGACGTGTTACCTTTGGCCCAAAAGTTGTACCCCATCAAAAACCTAAAAATGACATTTTTTAACTATTTATTGCGGTGAAACCATAAACATTTGTCAAATGTTGCAAACGCAGAAATATACTGGATGGCTTCTCCTACAACGTACTATATTTAAACTTTAAAACAATAAAATGGCTGTTAAAATGTACCGTTATCTAATATTAGTTTTTTCCAAATTTTTGATGCTGTTTTTCTTCTAGACCCCACGTTGTGAAAGTCTAAAATTTAATTAACGGACATTAGTAAATAGTTCATTTCGTTAGAAGAAATTTGTTTTTCACCTCCACCCCTCTGAAGTTATCGCCTGTAAAAATTTGTAAAATTTGAATTTTTGGCACCTTATATTTGCCAAATATTTAAAGGTAACGGTAAATTCTATGCTAATAAAAAATATAATTATTTTTCTTATTTCACACAGTTAACCCTTAAAATCGAGCATTACGTTAATTCCCATTTTATATTAATTTTTGCTTAAGACTTTTAAGATTTCATAAATCTTTCATCCTAAATATATGCAATCCTAGAAATAGTTTCGTATATGAATGAAAATTAATTAAATAGTGTAGTAGCTGTACATAGACAGTATTTATAAGTAGTATTTTCACTTGTTGAAGAGAAAAGTGCTACAATACAAACCATTGGTTTGACTCAACTTTATTCAATTATGAAACTAATATGGCACTGCGCACTCAAATAAATGTTAATAATATTACAAACTTATAGGATTTACAATCTTTAGGTATGGAACAATGCCAGTGGTCACCACTTATACATATGTCACTTTTACTTCAATCAAGTGCACCGAAAATAGAACTCTTTCTAAATTATTTTACAAAACAACAATTAAGCTCATAGGTAATAAATAGTATTTGCCACCATTTGAAAGTTCTTATCCAGAAATGCCATTTATATATGATTAATTTTTGAAATTAGTTACTTTGTTTTTTGTTTAAAATGGTTTTTTCAATAGCTACCAAATTAACCGGGGCTAATGCAATGTTGTGATTGTTCTATAACAAATTTTTAAAGTTTTGAAATATTAAAAAAGTTATTTTTGAATTCTTTTTTCCTATAGCATATTTTGCATTTTGTAATTCTAGCCATTTATTCATTTCTAATCCATTTTTGCATCTGTAATTCTATAACCCAGAAATTGATTTTCGTTCCTTTTAAAATTCATACATTCTAATCTTTACGAATTTGATATGTTTTGTATAGACGTAAAGTGATTGTTAAAAATATAACACATACGCATTGCCATGAGGAAAGTCAAAAATAGAAAAAACTTAACATATCATATAACACATGCAAGCTCTAAATATATACTTACATGTTAAGATAAGTTATCTATTTACACAAACATGTATAGCATTATATGCATTTTGCACATTATATATTCATGGAATACGTGTAGGTACATTACAGCCAATGAAATACTGCAGCGTTTAAATTAATTGAAAAAAATATTAATAAACATTACTGATTTTGTATAACAGCAGCAACTTAACATGCAATCATTTAATTACAAAATAAATATTTTTCTATCAATAATATTGCTTTTTTACCGAACTTATAAAAATAAGATTATATAGAGGGAGGTATTGTTATGGCACCAAAATTCACAAATTGAATAGAGAAATGTTTAACTATTTTTAGCAAGATTCTGATTTGGTTATGTTTGCACCCTCAACTTGAATTGATTTGTATGAAAATTAGGTATCTGAATTAATCTTAGCCATAAGTTTTATTGCATGTCAAGTCTCATAAACTGAATTTTTTCTTGCTAAATTTTACATGTTAGCTCATTGTTAAAAAATATTTAACAAATTTTCTTCAATTTTTATACTTGTATAAGCATAGCTTCAAAGAAATCAAGCAACTAAACTTTTACTGCAGGCCGAATTCACATTTTTCGCATACATATGGAAATAATAAACAAATTTCGTTGAAACTTTTATGTTTCAACACTGGTTGATCTCTCAGGTTTTTTCACTAAGAGCCAATTTTAGATTTCTTGACATATCTATATAAAACTAATAAAGGCATTTTTTGGAAATTTACTATATTTTTAATTTTTGCTTGCCAACGACACTAACTTATATTGACTAATAACAGAAATCGAACACCAATACCAGAAACCTAATTTATTTTTTTTCTAGTTATATTGATTAAAAGTTTCGCTTAGAAGTATATTACATAATATATTAGTCATAAATATTTGAAAGAAATGTCATAATCTTGTGCAACACTTTCACTAAACTAAAAAATTTATATTTTATGGTCGGTAATGTGCCGATCATATCAGATTTTTTTGCTATATTTTTCGCAAAACTAATTTAAAAGCAATATGAACTTCAACTCATAGAAATGATAAAATTTGTATGCAATTTCTAAAAGACAACAGACACAATATATGAACATGCATACATGTTATTTTGAAATCCGAACCTTAAAATAGACCTTTGTTTTTCAGTCAGTAAAGATTTTATTTTTTAGCTAAAATTGTAGTAATTATAAATTCATTGTCTTTCTTTCTAAATATAAAATTGTTAGTAAAATATATATTTAAAATTTAAATTCATGTTCTACTCTTGTAGTGCTTTGAAATCTTACCTTCCCTCAAAAGAAACTTAGCACATATTAAAATAAATATTAGAACATTAAATGCGAACATTTAATGTGTTACTTTCTTTTGGGAAAATTTTTTACTAAGCTATGTCCTGCAACTATGCTGGAACTTGGAATATGCCATTGTCTAATAGAAAAGAAGACTTGCACATTCTGGAGATCGATTTTGTAGATTTTGTGAAGCACTTTCCTAGAGGCGATCACTAGCGCTTGAACGAATCATGAGGATTTTAGGTCTAGCTAGTGCTTTATAAACGGTGGAATATTACCTTAAGCTCTTATGGCTGCAAACACCTGGTCTGAGGATGAACTCTGACAACTATCAAATCTATATCTATCCAAATCCAGGAATGACAGTATTTGAATGATATGCTATGTAGCTTTGATATTTTTTTATATCAACTGGAGCTGGATTTGTGTTGTAGTATTCTTATAACGTTGTGGGTATAATAAATTTTTTTATGCAAATAGAAATTTCATTAAAATTTATAAAATAACTGCGAATTTTTGTAACATACTCATATTTTTTTCAATAAAATTCTTACGATTTCTAAATTTAATTAAAACTCCCAACATGAATTCTTTTCATAAATAAATTTTAAACATAATTTTTATTGAATTATACCACTATAGTATTTATACCATTATAGCATATACCATTATTTCATTTATACCATTATAGCATTTTTGCAAAACATTTAAAAAAAGTGCTTATTAGTTTTACTCCATCCGTCCGTCCGCTCGTCTGCTTAAATGGTACTTACTAGAAACTTAATTCGGTAGGAGAAAATTGTTACTATTGTCCTCATCTTAAAACTTATAGAAATACAGAAAATAGGGGTTGGCCTTTTCAAGCATAGTTAAGCATGAAAATTACAAAATGGTGATTCTGAAAGATGTACAACAACATATTCCATTGCTTAGACGATCGACAATGGGTATAACATTTGTTCCGGACTGGGTGCCAAATTTCCCAAATCCGGGATTTTAATGAATTTTCACGAAATTTTTACTTATCAAGGTTTTTTTGATTATAACTTCCGTTCTGAAAAAGATAGGGACCTCAAACAAAGAGTTTCTGAAAGGCCTGGGCTTAAAATAAACCTGCTTGATTCCTTACCTGTACCTTCGGAATACAAAGCATTCGAACTTTAGGCAAAATCAAATTTTTCACTTGTTTTATTTTTTCAGTTTTTTCTAACTAGATAATTTCATGAGAAATTTTTATACTCTACACTTCGTGAAGGGTTTATTAATTTTGGTATGGAGTTTGTAACTATTTGAAGGAGTCATCTGCGTTATAGACATATACATGTATTCTTGCTCAGCGTAAAATTCTGCATCGATTTAGACATGTCCGTCCGTCCCTCCGATCGCACGATAACTCAAAAACGAATAATGCAATCGACACCAAACTTTCACAAGTTTTTTCTTTTGTGCCAAGGATGCACCCTACGGTTCGGGTGGGTTCCATACAACTCCAAAAGCAAATTTTTTATATTCGGAAAAATAATAAAGTCAGATTCATGAAACTTGGCAGTCATGTGCCCAATTATAGGTCAAATATATTTCGGAAGTTTTAGTGGCATTGCTTGACAGGTTCGGGTACCTGCCATACAACTCGAGAAGCTAATTTTAAATATTTGGAAAAATAATAAAGTCAGATTCATGAAACTTGGCAGTTGTGTGTAAAATTATATATCATACATATCCGTGAAGTTTCTATTGAATGGTTTCACAGGTTCGAGTAATTGCTATACAATAACGAAAGGTGCAGGGTATAAT